TGTTGTAACTTTGAACCATCACTAAACAAATGGCTATAAGTCAAGGACTATCTGTATGTCATATAAAAATGGGGGCTCTAGCTGAACCTGTACCCAATTGAAAAACAGAACTTAATATACAAAATCCTAATCTAATTGTCTTCCATTGTTATAAGTCCAAGCCATCTCCTAGCCATTAAAAATAAGAAAGGAAGAGCAATAGTTTAATTAAGTGGATCAACAGTCAGATTCTTAGTTTGAAGGGTGGAATTGAACAAGTCTTATTTTACTTTAGAAACAAACAAACAAGATAGAAACCTCTTATATAATACTGTATTCAATTGGGTTAATGGTGAACTGAGAAGAACTTACTTTTCAATTAAAAATGTCTAGGCAGTTTAAAGTACTGCCTACTTGGCTGAAATCAGACAATTGCATATCCAATATAAGTCAGAGGCAGTGGTGGGATTCAATTTTTTTTACTACTGGTTCTATGGGCGTGGCTTGGTGGGTGTGGCGTGGCTTGGTGGGCGTGGTAGGGGAAGGATACTGCAAAAATTCCATTCCCTCCCAACCCCACTAACCTGCTTTCCAGCTCCGTTCTCCTGTGCAGGGCAACAAAAGATCCAGCTGATCAGCTGGGACTCGGGAGACAAAGAATAGATGGGGGAGGGGCCAGTCAGAGGTGGTATTTGCCAGTTCTCCGAACTACTCAAAATTTCCGCTACCTGTTCTCCAGAACTGGTTAGAACCTGCTGAATACCACCTCTTGTCAGGGCAAGCAGGAAAACCCATACATGTGTCAAGCTAACTGATTTATCTTATTTTGCCAAAAATACAGGAATATCTCCACGCTGCTTGCTTTCCCTTGGGAACAGATAGATAAGGTTCCATGGGAGGAGAGGGTCAATCCTGAATCTCTTGCAGTTATGCAAGGATCCATTGCTAATTCCCCATTTAACCCCTCCTCCCTTCCTGGATGAGCATTTCCCAACAATGCCAGCCTGTATCAGAGGTATCTCAAGTCATCCATGGCATCATTTGTAGTCTACAAATAAATTGTAATTATATTTAAATTATATTTAAATCATAGATTGTTATACAGCTAAAACTTTACACTTAGCTTTCTATAAAACAAGGTGTATTTCTGGCAGGGTTTATTTTTTAAACAAAACTGTATTTCTATTTTTCAAAATACAAATTACATACAAAATTTACAAAACACCCCAAAACACAGTTAAACAAGACCCTGTAATAAAAGCCAAAGGAAAGAAAAACAAAAGGCTTCATATATTAAATTTAACAAGTCACTGGTTTACTAATATCATACATAACACAATATCATAAATATCACAAAAATTTTGCCACAGTAGAATTTACTGCTTTATTCTTTGATTAATAGAAAATATCACTTTTTCATAACAGTTAGGTCACACTTCCAAAAACCCACATTCCTTAATATCAGAAATAATATAACTTTCCCAGTTTTTCAATATAATTATTTTATCCAACCTCCAGGCTCTCTCTATTCAGCTATAATTCCTTCTAAAACATATTCAAAGGTTGTTATATAACTCAACATCACATTCACATGTTTAACATTTGAAGATTTCCCTAACTGAAGATTAAAACACTATTACAAAGAGATACCAGATGATCACATGATGATGTTATATGGGTCAATGAGCACTCAAAGTGCCTAGACCTCCTACAATCTGATGTTCATCCTTTCAAATACATTTTTTTGGGTATCCACTATACTTAAAATACATTTTTAATTAATTGACATTATCCTCAATTCATTTTTACATTTTTAAGGATATAAAGCCATTGATCAGGCATAATTAGAGACCTCAGTTCTTTTCAGTTTACATGAAATTTTAAAATAATTACTTAGAACCATTTTTGTAGATTTGATTAGCACCTTCCAAACAAGCTATTCATAATTGCATTATAGACAATTGTGATCAAATTTGATCAAATTTCTGCAAACAGAGCAAATACCTATGGAAAATATATGTAATTCTTTATTTTACCTCTGGGTGGCATTATTACTCCAAAAAGAGAGTTGAAGCAGAACATTATACAAAGGTTTAGTATTTGAGGATATAAAAACATGCCCTAATTCTTAAATGTGGGTTACTTTCTTTTAATTAAAAAAAACACATTGACATTTATAGATGATTAATTCATATGAATTCTCTATTTTACACTTCCAATTCAACAGTGCTATACCATTATACAAGAAAACTTGAAACTGGAAAGAATATTTGAGCGTTGCGTACAGAGGAATTTTAAACCAAAGGATTTTAAGTTACTAGCCATATAAAATGTACATAGCGATCTATATGGAATTAATGTTGATGACCCATTTGGAAGTGATGGAATCAACACTAATGATGAGATAGCCATTTGGATTAAACTAGCCCGAATTCATTACACAGTAATAATGTTTTCATAGAGCAGGCATGTCAAACTAGCGGCCCGCTGGCCGAATGCGTCACACACCCCCTCCAGTTTAGCGAAGGGGGGAAAAGTCCCAATGCATCACGTGATGACGCCATGACAACGCAAGTTTGACACCGCTCTCATAAAGATAGTGTGGTATAGTAGTTAAGGCACCAAGCTAGGTACTGAGAGACCATGAGTTCTAGTTCCGCCTTGGGCACAAAGTCAACTAGGTGACCTTAGGCAAATCACTCTCTCTCAGCCCTAAGAAGAACACCATGGAAAACCACTTCTGAAAAGCTTGCCTTGACTAATCCAGGCAGTTGCCAGAAGTCTTGCACAGTACACTGCACAGTACAAGTAATCCTCAGTTTACAACTCTTCATTTAGTGACTCTTTGAAGTTACAAGGGCACTGAAAGGGCTTATGACTGCAGCCTACCCTTGGTCATGTGATCAAAATTCAGACTCTTCGCAAATGACTCATATTTATGATGGTTGCGGTGTCCTTGAGTCATGTGATCTTTTGCAACCTTCTGACAAGCAGTCAATGGGGAAGCCAGATTCACTTAACAACCGTTACTAGCTTAATTCCAGTGATTCATTTAACAACTGTGGCAAGAAAGATTGTAAAAAGGGATAAAACCAGGGGTGGGATACTACCAGTTTTGCCCGGCTCTATAGAACCAGTAGCTCTGAAGAGCAGCAGACCGGTTCTGTGTTTACTGCTGTTTGGCTCGCCTGCCTGCCTGGGCTCTTACCTGTCCTTTATTTCCTGCTTTTTCAACGTCAGCTGCTTTGCGCAGCACAGCCGTTGAAAAAGCAGGAAAAAAGAGGCTTTTCAAATGCTGTGTACCTGTGTACTGTGCTTTTCAGTTCTCCAGACGGCACAGCTTAAGGTTTTTTTACATGCGCGCATAGCTTGCGTCTGGCACTTATCTGTGCGAAGCGCACATCCACGTGCAAAATGTAGTCACCAAACCAGTAGTAACACCGGTTGAATCCCACCCCTGGATAAAACACACTTAGCAATTGTCTTGCTTCGTAACAGAAATTTGGGGTCAATTGTGGTTGTAAGTTGAGGACTATCGATATAAATCCCAGCCAGAAGCATAATGCCAGTCTGCCTGATAATAAATGTATGAACTGCTATTACAAAAATTACAGATGAAATCAATCCATACGAAGTAAAAATTCTAAAATATAAATGTATGAACAAAAACCAAGGCACATATTTCAATATAGTAGTTTAATATGACTTTTGCACAGCATTTTAAATATGTACAAGGATGGTTATGTTAGAAAGAAAACATTTTTTTATTCCTATAAATTCTGACTACATGCAAAATCTTTATAATTTAACTTTAATGTTACAGACATTTTACATGCATAAAGTGTAAGTGCAAATGTTTGTGGAAAACATAGGCAGGACATGATTATGAACATAATGTACATAGTCAAACTTCAATCAAATCTGAATTTCTTTTCCCAGCATGAAAGCAATTTATCTTTACTTCTCTTTGTGTTCGGACAAGAATCTTTTAAGATCTTCAGCTGATGGTGAACCTTTGATTCTTTAACAGAGCAGTATTAAAACAGAGCACAATTTTTGCTTTCAAAATGTGTATGCATTACAAAAAGAACAGCTGAAGGAAGGACTATTCAGAAACTATCTCCCTCCTTTTAAAAAAATCCTAGTCCCTGAGATGACAAAAAATGTGTGTGGAAGTGTTTAAATCACTGTACTGTCACATCATATTTACCTAATGTATCATCTGGGACCTATATTGCTATGTATAACCTTTCCAGCTTCCTTTTTAAAGCAATCTTCAATAAACTATTAAAAACCATAGCCAAAGGTTAAGGCAATCTCCATTCTAGCTTTTTATTGGGGTTAAGACATTCCTACTAAATGGTAAGGCCTATGTGCATTTCGCACTTGCGCACAAATCCATTTTGCTGTATACTAGGCTCAATATGCTGTCAAGGAAAGACTTAACTGCAAAATAGATTGCATATTCCTCTTGTTAATACCAAAAGGCACAACATTAATCTAAATAACAATGCCCTCATTTTCCAGAAAAAGGGAAAAATTCTTTGATATAAGCTTAGAGATTTAAAATAAATTTACTATGTTCCTGCAGAATGAATTGGATTTTGAATTGGATATTTCTATCTAAATTTCATCTGCAATGAAAACAAGACCAGGTTGTACATTTGTGGATCAAGTACCCTTTTCCATGGCATTTTCCTCTATTTCTTTAGTGAGAAAATTAAATTAAATCTCCTCAAAGCAATTCGTTCATACAATACTTTCCATACATTATATGGAGAAACACATGCATTTGCATTTCCACAACCCGGAAAATCAATGGCAATGTGAGCCAATTATGAACTGAATTTCAGTTCTCCTGAGTTATTCATTTATGACACTACTATATTAGGATATAGAATCTTTACAGTATATAAATATAGCTTTCTGAATGATCCATAATCTAAAGCAATAATTTATCCATAGTTGATTTGTATACAATCCCAAGGTATGTGTATGATATACCCAATGTAAAGTTTCTCCTAAATTTTCAGGGGTAGATCAAATGTACATTTTTTTGGAATTGTTTTTCGTTTCTCAAAGTTTGCAGGTTCACCTCTTACAGGTTGTTTTCCTTGAGATTGAACATTGGGAATGCCACCATCCTGAAGGTGGAATGAATTTTGTCTCTCTTCAAGTTCAAAACTTATAATGAGTGACTGTGCTACAGAGTTCAACTCATCCTGGTTCATCACTGGTGGAATTTCATGACGAAGATACTCCGTTGAGCTAACAGGCAAAATAGGTGATTGATAGAGAGCTGTAAAATTCCCAGTTAGAGTGCAGATCTTTTTAATAAGAAATCTGAATGGACTTTTGTTTCTATAGGCACCTGCAGAAAACAAAACAAAAAAACAAAGTAAATCAAGTCTAAAACAATTGAAAATCAAGGAGTTGAGTCACTTATGCATTATTTGAAAAGAGAAAAAAATAATTTGTATTCTTCTGGCTTAGATTATTTTATGGAAATGATGTACAAAAGGCACAATTATTAACTATAGAAATGACTATTTGTAAGGGCTGTAATTTGTTCCAATATTTGGAAATACGTTTTAGGGCTCCTTCAAACATCAACAATAAAGTTATTTTTTAAAAAGAAAACTTCCAGTAAATAATTGTATGTAGAAACATCTATTTTGGTAAAGTTTTCTTTTTAAGAAGGACACCGGGTTTTTATGAAGCAGCTACATTTCTGGAAATAAAATTAATAAGAGGTGCTTGTGTATATATCAGCAAACAAACTCAAGAATAAAACAGCAAATTAGATAGAAAATGACTATTGCAACTGTAGAAATAGATTCCTTGCAGGTTACCGTATTTATCGGCGTATAACACGCACTTTTTCCCCCTGAAAATAGGGGGCAAATGATGTATGCGTGTTATACGCCGATGTCCAGGGAGCGGAATCCTCTTTAAGGGATCCCGTTCCCAATAGTGCCTAGCGGCGGCGCAGCATCGTGACGTGATGTCAGCGCTGCGCCCGCCGCATATTTTTTTCCTGAAATTTCCCTCTTAAAGGGAATGCATGTTATACGCCTGTGCGTGTTATACGCCGATAAATACGGTAATCGTAATGATTAATACATGTTGGTCACAGAATTAGGAACAAGCTATAACTATCCAAAATTATTTGATACATGAGATCCTGAAATGTGAAAACATACCTAATTTGGAAACATTGGTTGAGATAATATTATGAGGCAACATTAAGGGGAAAAAAGATGAGGTCCAACTCAGATTAGCTCTCCCTGACAAAGGGACAAATTCACAGTCATTTCAGTTTACTGGCTCATAACATATTGTCTTGACTAGAATCAAAGCCACAGTGACACAGAGCAGAACAAAAATGCTTAATCATCATCTGTTTTCGTATCTCATATTTCTTTTGCTATAAGACCAATGAAGCATACCCTTCAGCCATACTCTCTAGAAGTACAACTCTTAGAGTCTCCCCCACATTCCCAAGTTCTTCTAAAATGGGAAAAGCCATAGAAGCAAAAATAGTAAAAAAGAGAGGAAGGGAAAAGAACAATTATAAAAACCTACCTATCTGTCCATCAACCTACCTGCCTACCTACCTGCCTACCTACCTACTACTACTTCTGTATTGCTTCTGTGGTGAAAGGATTTGCCATTGCCTGGGGGGGCACCCAGGGCTCCTTTCATGTCCCCTTTATGTTGCCAACCAAAGTGGTACCCATTTATCTACTCACGTTTGCCCACTTTTAAGTTGCTGGGATGGCAGGAGGTAGATCATGTGATGGGAGCACACTCTGCCCCGAGGCAGCAATAGGCCTCAAAACAAGTCTGCTGATTGCCAGCCCTGTGTCCTAACCCTTCTGAGCTACCATGATTCATCTACCTACCTACCACAACCAACCAATATAATCCTGGTACTGGCTGAATCAAGTAAACTTTCATTTTATATTCTGCTACAATTAGAATTTACATTTTTACTTTTCCCTTCTTTTTCTTAACAATCCTGTGAAGTATGTGAGACAGGGATTTTGTCCCTTTTCCTAAGCTGACTTTCTAACTCTGGAATCTCCAATGAGGTGGCATTAACTAACCATTTGTTTAATTTATCTCTTAGTGTCCTCCACTTTGCTTCTATGAATCTAGGTGTTTTTAAAACATAAGATTCATCAGAAAATATTTCAGTTTGTGAACCTCTGAGTAAATTCAACTAACCAATATATAATCTTACAGCACATGGATTTAAAAGCTATGTATTGTTTGCTTCAAAAATGGGGAAATTTAAAAGGAGAGAGGAAAGAGAACATAGGTCTTTGCAATGCTCTTCTAATGAAATGTATATAAGTTGATCAACCAAGTTAGACCACAGAATGCTCCCTAAAGTTTTAAATCTGTATGATTATTTATTGATCAGTTGAATTTACTCAGAGGTCTTGGGAAGGACTCAACGGGTGGATAAAAATGCGAAATCCAGTCTAAAAAAGTGGCTGACTGGGCAACCAAGCAACAACAATAATAATAATATTACTAATGGAGAAAATCACAAAATATAAAAACCTACAAACAGAATGACTGTGACAAAGAAAGCAAAGACAGTACCAGTAGGCATCTGGATACAGTCCCAAAACATCTGGAGCAACACTTAAGCATCAATGGTGCCAACACTAACAAAATCACCATCAGTCAATTAGACAAGGCAATTTTACTTGGAACAGTTTACATCCTGCAATGATATCTTTAACACTATCACATAACCGTATATGCCTATTCCCAGGTTCTTGGGAAGGACACAATAGATCAAGGGTCTTCAAACTTGGCAAGTCTTAAAAGCTGTCAAGTTTGAAGACCCCTGCAATAGATGGATAAAAATGCCAAATTCAATCTAAATATCTGGATGACTATGCTACCAACCATAATGATTATAATCACCAGTTTCCATCACAACAAAATAAAGAATCCCTGAATCAATTCTTGCAACTTTGTGGCCATAATTTTCAAAATGGTTTTGCCAGATAATATAAGTAAATACCTTCTAATAAATGAATAATCATCTGGTGGACTTGATCTAAGCAATGTTGTAATTCCAAGAATTCAGTAGCTTTATCATGTGCCTTCTTTAATTCTTGGTCAACAGATTCTTCTTCTGTTAATAGACTTACTTCATTCTGTCAGTATGAATAAAAAGTTTTCATGAAGATTGCAAAAACAAGTTAGTATTTTTGAAAAAAACAAGTTAGTATTTGAGAACTACTTAAGCCGGTATATATCAAGATAGTATAATGCACTAAATAGAACTTCTGTGGTCATTTGATTTATAGTTAAAAAGGATAAAGGATAAAAAATGCAGGGGAATGAATTTGTCATCATGTATGAGTCAATAACATTGTGAAAAATTATATTTCAACTGTAGTGGGAAAAAAATTTCATTTCAAATTGTGATGAAAAATGTAATACAGATAGTCCTCGACTTATGACAACTGAGCCTAAAATTTTTGTTGCTAAGCGAAACATTTGTTAAGTGAATTTTCCCTCATTTTACGACCTTCCTTGTCACAGTTGTTAAGTGAATCACTGCAGTTGTTAGGTTAGTAACATGGTTAAGTGAATTTGGCTTCCTCATTCACTTTGCTTGTCAAAAGGCCACAAAAGGTGATCACATCGACCATCATAAATATGAATCAGTTGCTAAATGTCTGAATTTTGATCACATGACCATGGGGATGCTGCAACCATCATAAGTATAAAAAAATGGTCACACTCTTTTTTAAGTGCCATTGTAACTTTGAACGGCCACTAAATGAACAATTGTAACTCAAGGACTACCTGTAGAGTTTTTACTTACTTTTTTACACTCAGACATGATCTCTTCAAGGTGTTTAGCCAATTCAATCGCTTTGTACTTTATTTGATTCTGAACCTGAAAAGAAAATATTAAGGATTTGAGCAATTAAAGCAACCTTTCTTTAAGGTGAGTTTTAAAACAGCTGCACCTGTTTTCAGCTGCTTTAATGCATATCATTGGGCTTGGGCAAGGTTCAAAGCAGTACTTTCAAATAATTTTGCAAATATGTGTAGCCCAGCCACAGAAATTGCAATTCACCCAGAGGAACTGCAGAAGTGGAAAGGGGGGAGGGTTTCAGAAGTAGATTTATACCTAAATTAAATAAATAAATCTGTAGCCCTTTGTTAGACAAGTCAAGATATATAAACACTTCATAAGGGGAGGCTACATACACTAAAGATTGTGTATGGAAACATCTCTCATAAATATATTGAGTGGATAAGAAAAAAGACATTTACAGCTGCAATTCACACAGAGAAAAGGATCATACACAATGTAGTGCATATCAATAAAAAGGTTCCCCTCGCACATATGTGCTAGTTGTTTCCAGCTCTAGGGGGTGGTGCTCATCTCCGTTACAAAGCCAAAGAGCCAGCACTGACCAAAAATATCTACGTGGTCATGTGACCAGTATGACTAAACACTGAAGGCGCATGAAACGCTATTACCTTCCCACCAAAGTGGTCCATATTTTTCTACTTGCATTTTTACATGTTTTTGAACTGGTTATGTTTTCATTTGGCATAACAAATGGCATAAGGCCAAAAAAAATTCTATCATGAATTACTTATGAAGGTACAGTTATGTATATGAGAGCAAAAGTATTCTAGACATTCTCAGTAAAATCAAGGTGAAGTTTGTCAAAATATTAAATTTGTGAAGACTTAAAAAAATAGTTTTAAGATGTTGAAATAATTTTTTTATTTCCATATCACCTCATTCTGTGGGTACCATTTTGAGAATTCCTTCTGCATTATCCTGCATGTTTTTTGTATATAATCTAAAAGGTGTCTCAGTCCCAAGTCTATTCCATCATAGATATCTGATATGAGTTGTTTCTGACACAAACAGAAAGACAAAATAAAAATACAAAGTAAAAACTCAATTACAGTTTTCTATTAGTTATGAATGCTTACAATAGTTAATAATTCAATGCCTATTTATAGAAACAACACCATGGCTATTTGACAGAACCATTTTAAAAAAAACTATCACATTTCAATGCCACAATCAATAAAATAAGCAACATAGTGCAACATCATGAAACATACAGGGAAAAATAAAACATATGAGGTAAATAATAAGCGGTAATTGGGGAGGGAACCAAAACCAACATCCTTTCTAAAACAACATACAATAATACAATATACCTTTAAGAAAAGTTCTGTCTCAACCAGCTGGAACACTATCAATATTGGGAAAATCAACACAAATTTTTTTCCACCTGCTGAGTTCAATCCCTAGCCCCACCCCAGTTTTAATGGAAGTGAAGGGCCTATAGTAGTTTTCCTGAGAAATTTGCATTTGGTAAGTCAATTCTTTCTGAAGATGGAAAGTCTTCAGCTACCTTGGCACCAAGTCATATCATTCATTCATGTTTTTAAAGGTAGTCCTCAACTTACGACTATAAATGAGCCTGGAATTATGATTGTAAGCTATACCAGTCATAAAGCACAGTTTAGAGTGCAGTATTGCAGGCAAATTCTGAAGTTCGATCCTGGTGGAGCTCAAGGTTGACTCAGCTTCCCATCCTTCCAAGGTTGGTAAAATGAGGATCCAGATTTTAGGGGCAATATGCTGGCATAAACCACACAGATAGTGCTGGGTGGATCACTATGCCTGATTTTACAAATTTATTTTTGTGCTCATTGAGCAAACCCAGCAGTTTTTAACAAATCCATTTTTCACAATGAGCAGTTTTTACTGGAAAACCAAAGTATAGAACTGATTTCCAGCAAAAAAAAATGTTGTAAACTATGGCCATGTGATTATGGGAGGCTGCAAACAACCTTAAATGGAGACTAATTGCTGAGCGCCCAAAATGTGATGGGGGGGTGGGGCGGCTATCAGAATCCGGATCATAAGTAGCCCTGGGGAGGTCCATTGCAAGTTCAAACTGTTGCTAAGTGACTGGTCACAAGTCAAGAACTACCTGTATACATATGCACACACACAGATATACTGTACACATAAATACATACATCCTTAATTTACCTTTGCATTGCTTTCATCACCTCCTTTTCCATCTGTAAAACTTAGCTCTGAGCCAGTCATTGCTGCCAAATGTCCTATGTATTTAGCAAGGCGTTTCAATATTTGCGTTATTTTCTTCTCTGCCTCTGCTACTACTGATGACAGGTCTGCACAGCCACCCTGGAAGATGAATTTGTAGCATGAGGAAGTGTTTACGGTTTGAATATTCCCCATTCATTTGAATTCACATAGTTAAAATAGCATAAACTAAATTTAAACCAGTGATGGGTATAAATTGATTTAAACAATACTTCTAGTACTGATCTTTGTAAGGGTCACCTGCAAGATTTCTTACCTGAAAGAGCAATTGCAGATATCCGCCCAAATGTTTTACATCTTCCCTTAGTTCACTGAAAATTTTTACAAATTCACTGTTTTTTCGGAAAGTCTTCAGCCACTGGTTAGTCAAAACAACAAATTGTTGGAAAGCCGATGTAATCGCTATGCTGCAGGACTGGGCAGCTTGATCAACAGTGAAAACTAAACAGAGAGATAAAATCCTCAGTTAGAATGCAAATTGAGAATTGGGGAAAACCTAATCGCTCCTTATTATGTTTCAATCAAACCAATCTGATTTGTGTTTAATAGGCAGAACTTACAGTTCTCTGGATTTTCTTCAGCTTGTTCATAAGCTTTTGTCATAGCAGTGACTCGAGTATATATTGTAATCAAAGTTTTTAAAAGAATTTGCGCCATGCTTTCTTCTTCTTCTTCGTGAACCTGTCCCAGCACATCCAAGGCTGAAGTTAGCAGTTCCTTACAAATGCCTGGTACAAATGATTCAGGAGGATCTGAGATCAGATTGGCCAATGTATCAGTTGTGCCTAGGATAAAAGAAAACATGCGCATCATGACAACCAGTATGACTTTCCTTACTTTTAGTCCAGACTTCCTTCTGCAAAATAAATGTTTTAAAAAATCAGTTGAAAGAGGGAAAATATATCAAAGAAAACATTAATAATTGTTTTAAAAAATCAGCTGAAAGAGGGAAAATATATCAAAGAAAACATAAAGCTTTTCTAAAACTTCAGGGACTTTAATAGAAGGCCAATACAATAAAAAGTGATTAAAAACAACTTTTGAAGGGCAGAGCGTTACAATATACATACCTGTTACACATGAATTGTGCAGTTTCTCCTTTATCCCAGACAAACACCCAGAGATTCTCTTGCTCTTTCTCAAACTTCTACTTCTCCTAAAATTGCACAAGACCCAAGTAAAAAAGATCACATTTAGTTTCCAGTAACACTTCTAAGAATGCCAGGATTCATTGCCAGTCTGCATTCTCAGAGTATCAGTTTCATGCCAGTCAGCCTATTTTCATTCCCAAGAAGGATGGCTTTAGGTCTCACACAAAATTTCCATGCTGGAAATAGGAAAATCAGGATTCATTTTAAACAAAAGCAGAAATAGAGAAGAGGACAAAGGAAAAAACTGGGAACTGAGGGTGGAAGAATGAGATTTACTGTCTTCCCAAAAACTCCTGTGATTCCTCCTTCAGGAATCTAAACAAGAAAACTAAGTCCAGGAAAACTGTATCTGAGGAACAGATGTTTAGGTGAGGTTACTTCCCAAGAAGTTGATTTCAACGTTTATTATTTTTTCCCTGTCTTTATGGGTGCAATATGTTGTCTATTGTTTTAAATTCAATTTCTCTGTATGAGGCTGGTTTTTGAATGGATTCCTAGCCTTCAGGCTGGATATTAACTAAAGTAACTTTTTCTGATCTATATTGTAACCTTCTATTACTGAAGATAAGTACTTCAGTTAACACATCTTGCTCAAAGCTCATACTGGCACTCATAAAATGTGCATTTTCCCCTTAAATAAATTTGAAACTTCCCTCACCTTTCTCCTTTAGATTCTGGCAGAATCTTCCACTGGAATAGACCAGCAACTTCTGGCAGGATAATATATTCTCTGATGAATTTAATTCAAGCTTTTATTGTTCTCATAATCTGAAGAGCTCTATGACTTTATTCTTAAAAGGTGTACTGTCTGCATTTTAATACTGTATTTAATATTTTAAAAACTGACCTTTTTATTTCTTTACAGAATAAAGTTTGATTTTGTTTCTTGCTAATGAGATTTCCCTCTCAAGGAGGGAAATAAGGGATGAAACTTCTGGAACATGCTTCTACTTCTACTTATAACTTGGTCAGAAGGAAGCATGCTTGATTTTTTTTCCATTTTTAACAATTTGATATTTGATTGCCAGAAATACATAATTTGACACTGTTCTAGTTACCTCCTTGAAGAATTGGAACAACTGGATGCATTTGAAAAATCAGGTTCCCATTCATCAGTAGGATCATAAAAAATCTCATCAGTTCCCTCAGTGCTGTTCATCTGGAAGATAAAGGAATTTATTTTCCTGAAGGTCATTTCCACAGTTTAAGACTAAAGGCAACACTCAACTTCTACTAGGATATGATTACATGGTTAAATGCAGGATCAGCCTACCATTTTTAAAACTCATGCTCAAAATTCATTACTCTTTCCACAAAGATTAAAACCCATGGAAGAACTTTGATCAATATCATACCTCCAAATCTAGGCTGCCCTCCACAATATATACAGCATATCAGGATCCCTATAAGTAACTGATTTTAAAAAGTAATCTATTACTGAAGATAAGTACTTCAGTTAACACATCTTGCTCCAAGCTCATACTGGCACTCATAAAATGTGCATTTTTTCCCTTAAATAAATTTGATCAGACCTTCAGGTGATTTATAGGAATATAGACACATTCCTTTCTTTGAAACTTAATGAGCCTTCCTGAAGTCAGGTGATTTACACAATTCTAATAACTAGTAAAATAAAAGAGATGTATATACTGATATTTAGGAAAGGCTCGTGGGTATGTCTGATTTGTTTTTCCTTAGAAAAATATGTCTTTCTGGATAAGATTAAAGTGCTTTTTTTTCTTTGAAAAAGTAACAGGACCAATCCCTCTGTAGTACTACTATGTCACATATAAAATGTTTTAAGAGTCAGCTAACATAATATTTATTTTATGCAGCAATATATTCATTTTAATAAACTTTCAGCATAAATGCAACATTTATAAACAGTTTTTAAGTAGCTTATCACTTATCTACACTGGGTGATTCTCTGAAAAATGTCACTGCTGGAAAATATATAATTGTAATATTTATATCCAGAACAAAATCCTTATGTAGGGTTTATAAAATGTTTAACCATTTAAACATTACCAAACAACAACAAAAGAGAAAAACATTTCAGGATGGAAACTCTTTTACCATCACAATTAATTTTTTTCTGGTTGGATTCCCAGGACATGGGTATCCATCACTCAATGAATCTTATTTTCTAAATTCTCCATCTGGTTTTTGTTCAGTGCTGCTTGCTCTTCATCTTCTTCCTAATCTTTCTTGCTCACTTCTATCATTGTCCAGTGCCCTGCTTTCTTTCCTTCTTAAGTTCTTTCTGAAATGCTGTTTCACCAAAGTACATGTTTCTTCTTTCCACACACTCTTAAACTACAGGTAGTCCTTCTTTGGAGTTATATCAGACCTTCCCAGAGATATTTACAACCTAATTCTAAAGTTCTGATGGTCCTCCTTCCCCCATGGGTCACATGCCTGAATTTGAAGTGCTTGGCGACCAGCCCACATTTAAGGACATTTACAATGTCACCTGTGGTCACATGATTGCATTTTACATTTTTGCCAAAAACTAAGTTTTCAGCAAAACCACCTGCCACAAAAATGTTGTAAAGTCAGGTTGATTGATCAATATGACAACCCACTTGATGACTGTCACAACCTACGACCATTACAGTTGTAATTCGAGCAGTACTTGTACTTGCAGATAACTAATGGCTATCTACAGTATGTTAAAATATTTCTTCTGGGTGTCAAAGCATGTTCCTACTTTTTTTGCGCTTCTACAGAGGCAAACAATGAGATCATACTCATATAGGCAAATTCTGAAAGCGCCTCTGCCTTTCCTTCATAAAAGCAATAGGAAGCATTTCAAGCTTTTGCTTAAACAAACCTCATATGCATCTTTCATTGCAGCCAGTTTGTCTTCAAATTTCTCAAGGCTCCAGTATGTTGCAACACCCAGCCTGATGTTACGGACCTGCACTTGAAGGCCATTTTCTTGAGCCATTACATCATGTCTGATAAAAGAACATAATAAGCTTACTCCCAGAACATAAAGTGACCACCATCATCTGATACACCACCCCTTTTATAATTGACAATTGGTGGGAGCGGGAGGGAATTGTATTTTACAGATTGAGAAGATAACAAATTATCTAGGTGCTTAATTTCAGAATGAAGCATTTTAAAAATAGGCAAAGACTTTTTTGAGTCATTTTTAGAAACTATTTGGACTGCAAACGCTACTCTGAAATATGGCTTTAATTTGATTGTTTAAAAGCAATCATCAGATTACAGTAATTAAAAAGATATGCAAGGAACAACTTCCAATATTTCAGTCAAGAACATACCTACAAAAAACAGTGTGCTTGTCAAGTTTACTGCTGATTGTGTTGGCCTCTCTGAGCATCATAGACAGTTTCAAAGAATCCCAATTTGGTTCTGCAAAATGTTTTTTGAAAAGGTTTAGCAACTCTGGAAATTAAAGCGTAAATTTCTTATTTATAAGAGTACCAGCATATAATTTGTTAAGTTCTTTATTTTTTTTCAGGTTTTATGTCTCTAACATTCACTAAACAAATGATGGTAACTACTGATGAGAACTACTTGTGGTCTGAAGTCTGTGCACACTTCCTAGACCAGGGGTGGGCAAACTACGGCCCGCGGGCCACATCCGGCCCATTGGTCTGTCCAATCCGGCCCGACCCTGAAAAATAATCACTGGGCGTGGCCTATTGCCCTGCGCCGTGTGGCCCCAAAGATGTAAAACAGTGTGGAGCGCTCTCGGGGTAGGAAATAAAAGAAGTTTGCAAAGGCCTCGGCTGGGAATTCGAAATCACGTTCGAGTGCGACCTCTCCGAAGGTGAGTCCCGCCAATCCCCCCTTTTTTTCCGGGGCTTCCAGGCTTAAACTTTGCAAAGGCAACGTTTGCAGGCGGGAGCGTCTTCCCGCTGAGGAGCGGGAAGGGTTCCGCCCGGCGGGTGGGCTGCTTGGAGTGGGCTGCTTGGAGCCACCTAAAGCTAGGCCACTGCTGGTGGAGCCTTGCCCTGCCTTGGTGCCCCATTTCCCGGCTCGGCAGTCCTGCTCGGGCGGCACTTTAAAAGCCTGCTCCCAGCACCCGATCAACTTCCCAGCAACTTACTGCTTTGTTTTTCCTCGCGGGCGCTCGCACCTGGCCCCGAGCTGCGCGGTGGAGGGGAAACCCGGAGCGCCGCCGGCTCGCCTTCTCCAAGCAGCCCGCCCGCCCCCTGGAAGCCCCAGAAACCTGAGCAACTTCCCAGCAACTTTTGGCTTCCTTTTAACTCACGGGCGCTCGCGCCTGGCCCCAAGCTGCGCAGCGGAGGGGAAGCCGGAGCGCCGCCGGGTCGCCTCCTCCAAGCAGCCCGCCCGCCCGCTGGGCTTCCCCTCTGCCGCGCAGCTCGGGGCCAAGCGCGAGCACCCGAGAGGAAAAAGCAAGCCGCAAGTTGCTGGGAAGTTGCTCGGGTGCTGGGAGCCGCCGTCGTGGTGAGCGGCTCGTCGGGCACGTACGCGAGGAGGGCTTTTAAAGTGCCACCCGAGCAGGACCTGCCGAGCTGGGAAACGGGGCACCAAGGCAAGGCAAGGATCCATCAGCAGCGGCCTAGCTTTAGGTGGGCTTGGATGCCCCTGAGCGCCGTTTGCTGTTTGTTCTCTCCTGGGACTCGCATTTGGAAAGCGTGGAAAGTAGTAGCAGGAGCAGCCGTGGTGTTACTTTTTCTTATATATAATATATATATTATATATTATATATTATATATTATATATTACATATTACATATTATATATATATATATATATATATATATATATATATATATATATATATTATGAAGGGCCCATTATAAAATGCAGCAAATTATATATAAGAATATTATATGTATGTATGTATGTATATGTGTGTGTGTGTATGTATGTATGTATGTATATATATATACATATACATATACATATACATATACATATACATACATGTTATGTCCCACCTTCCAAAAATAAACAGATAAGGCTGAAAGCAGCAGTCCTCGCAAATAAAGGCAGCAACCAGGAATCTTCACTGATAACAGCCGCAGCCAGCCTCCACAAGATAGTCCAAGTTAACAGTCCCAATAAATCCAAGTCCCAACAAGATATTTCAGGTTTAAATCCTCCAAGCCAAAGTCTTCGGTTCTCTTTGCAAACAATTTGTTCCCGACAAGAGTGCAGAGTCATCCCTCTTCCTTTTATAGAGCAGCAGCTAATTAGTCTAATTACTGATCTGCCCTCCTCCTGTGCTCCCGTTGGTTTCTTCTCGTAAGGAGACGCCTGCTTCTGACATCCACCCAGCGATTATCTAAATTATTACTTTCACCTGAAGACTCCATAAGTTCCTTATTATCAGCCGTTCCCGGCTGATAACCTGATTGAGAAGCCGAGGAGGTTGAAGGTTCAGGCCGGTCCTGCAAATCAAATGTCCTCCCTTGTAACATTCTCATTCAAAACTGCAGACAAAACTGTTAGGACTCCCTTTTGAAATTCAACAGTCATTTCACAATCAAATCAAACTAAAGGGAGTAACGTTCCCTGGTTCTGACGTCAATCCACGATCTAACAGTCATCAGATTCAAAGTTCCTAACAGGATTGGACCTTCCAATCACAACACATACATACATACATACACATAAAATAATATTCTTATATATAATTTGCTGCATTTTATTATGGGCCCTTTATAATGGCGTTTTATAAAATTGGTTCGGCCCTCGAACGCAGATCTGATTTTCCATGTGGCCCCCGACAGAAATTAATTGCCCACCCCTGTCCTAGACTTTGTGGCAGAAAATTATACTCTGTCTTCCCCATTATAAACAGAAGAAGGGGGTCCGTCCCAGAGCTCTGCTATAAAACAGTTTTGTTATTTATTTAAAATGCTTTAATATTTATTTATGGGAAACTACCAGACAGGTAATTATGTAATATTATAACCGTACCTTTATTTCTATTTCCTCGACTCTGCTGAAGAATTTTCACTTCCTGAGCAATTTTCTGCTTTTCGGCCTCCAAAGCTTCAAGAATCTTAACGTGACGAACCGTGTGATCTTCTAAAACCTAAAACAAAACCAGGATGGGAAGTTTTTTTGGTAAAAGCTTTCAAAACTGGAGGATGCAGTCTAACAAAGGGTCAGTTTGGTCTAGTGGTTAAGGCACCAGGCTAGAAAGCAACAGACCATGAGTTCAGATATTGCCTTAGATATTAAAACCAGTTGGGTGACCTTGGGCCAGTCACTCTCTCAGCTCAGCTCAGCTCACCAGAACCTTGTTGTCGGGAAAATAAGTGAAGGAAGGTATTTTGAATATGTTTGCCACCTTATTTGTAAAATAAATAAATAGAAGGATGGTGGATATACCGGAGTGTGCAGGGTATATTCAAAAAGCTCAAAATAGTAGATGAAGCCTCAATCACACTGTCATGGCTGCAATCTTGATTTTGACTACACTACCCCGAGGACACAGGGCCAGGTTATGCGCAGAACTGCCTCTCACTGAAGGCGTCATGCCCTTGTTGGAGTCTGATTCTGACTGAGCAGCTGACAGGGAGTGGGAGTGTGGCTCCAGTGGCTGTGGAAGAAACAGGATAAGGGCACAGTCCGTTTAGGCATTCAGGAGAAAACCCAGGGCCATCCCTCTTCATCCTAGGGCAGGCAGGGAGGAATGGAGAAGGGACCAATGTGGCTTACAGGAGAGAAAAAGGCCCTGATCCCTTTCATTAATTGCAGCTGGGAGAACAGGATATAAGAAGGGTGTTTGCACATAGCACCTTGCTGGAAGCAAAGTGTGCATTATCTTTGTCGAGGCTTATCTGGGTTTTGGCATCCTCCCAACTGTGTGTGCTTCTTTATCTTTTTGGAAGTCTGCAATTTATTATCCTGGCCTGTCGTGTTAATTACTTCAACATGGTTTGTGTTGATTTTTTCTTATTTCTAATTTATCTGTACTTTGGGTTCGGACTGCATTTCTTCCTTCTGTAGACTGTTTTTGGAAGAGTTTGATCTCCAGCTGAGGATAACTTGACATTGGGGGCCAAGTTGGAGGTATTAAAGGGAATTTATCTACTTTAATGCCTTTGTTATTTTTGTGCCACGCCCCAGGTAGTTACAGAGGGTGTCTTCCTGTCCCAATACATTAGATGGGACGGAGGATGTAAACTCAAGATCTTTTCCCTAAATACATTGTTACACAATGGGACCTCAGAACACAACTTCTTCATGGCCACCTTGGCCCTTTGGAATACCCTCTCACCTGAAATTCAGGGCGCCTTATCCTTAAACCTTCCAGAAGGCTGTGAAAACCTGATTCTTCTCCAAAAGCATTGAGATAGGACTTAATTTAGCAATAAAGATGATTTTAGAACCTTGGTGGGAACAGTATGGTGTTGTTTTCTTAATTACTGTGAGCTCCCTAGGAATAGCATGTGAGATAGGAAGCCATATAAGTTCTTCAGATACATAAACAAATATCTGGTGGTACATCATATCAGATCTGAAGGGCAAAAAAGGTATTTCAGAGAGGGTAGCCATGCATGTGTACTATATGTCTCCATATCCTTATACCAAATCTGAATTTTTCTGGGACTGCACCACAGATGATATGGGAAGCAAAATGATCCCTGGAAAAGGCCCAGCTCTTTAAAGAATGGGAAAAAGTGCTAGATACTTCTACACACTCCCAAACCTCACTTTTCTTCTGAATCCCAAGAATTGTATAATTTTAATTCATAGTTTTCAGTTTCCATCATTTCTCCCTGAAGAGGTTGACAACCAGCAAGAGACTGAGGAATATCAGTGTTGATAAGCCCTTTCACCAGCTACCCAAATTTTTAATACTATTTTTTTTTACTGCTTTTTAAATTTTATTATGATTATTATTCTTATTCTAAATGTAAGTTCCATTGAAAGACAGATTTGAGTCTTTGATTTGAGAAAGAAATAATGGTTCCATCCTTGAAAATCATTAAGGAGGCCCAGGAAATGCGCTTTCTGTCATGGTGCCTGTTCTCAGGAATGGTATCTTCCCCCCATTCATATTCTCCTGATCCTGCTGTCCTTTAAGGCAGGGGTCGCCAACCTTTTGGACCTCAGGGACCACCAAACTCATAATTTTAAATCCCAGGGACCACTAACCGGTTCTGTGGGTGTGACCTAATTTGTGGGTGTGGCTTGGTGGTCATGTGACTGGCTGGGCATGGCTTGTATGTAAATATTATAAATATGTATATAAATATTGAATTTTTTATTAAAAAAGAGCAACTTTTAACCAAAATCAGGCAAAGCAGGCAGGCAGATTGAGTTGCTCACAGAATCATTCAGTGATCTATCTATCTGCCATCGTCTACCTGAGTCTGTCACATAAAATTTGCTTCCCATGAGTCTGCACTGAATAATAGAACCTTCAGTCCAAAGGGAAGTTCAGCTGTGCTTAAAAGCAGAGCCAAAGATGCAAAGACTAGCTAGAAAGCAAGAAATCCAACTATTTCCTGCTTCTTAGCTAATCTAAATCTTCCGGCACAGCAGAACAGCAATTTAGCAGGCAAGTTTACCGGGTAAGGAGTGAGTGGGCGGGGATGCTTCCCGCGGGCCATGTGGGCAGTGCAGCCATGTGTTCCCGTGCAGCCTAGATTAATTGCTTTGGGGGTGCTCTGGGTGTAAGATTTCTCTGCAGTCCACCAAAATTTTCTTGTTGCCCACCGGTAGGCAACCGCTGCTTTAAGGGAAACTTGAAGACATAGGTTTTTCCCAAGGTTTTCTTTTATTGTCTTGCATTATTGCATTATTGGATCTTGTTCTTTTTTAGATTGTATTCATTTTATAAAATTGTCCCATCTCATTGGGGATTCTTTTATTGATGGCAAAGGGTTTTGAGTCAATTAGTTGGGCAGCTTTAAATATGTAACAATTCATTAATTTTTATTCCTGTTAATAAGACTCTAAATATCTACCACTGCAGACTTATAGCCTCAACTTAAGTCTGGATAATACATTAGGAATATTGTTAATTTCTAATAAGTTTCATGGATTTCATGGAAGCGATCTACTCAAGAACATATGAGACTCACATGTTCTTGAAGACACTGGATAAAAATACAAACAAATGAATTTAGTCTGTTTACCTCTCTGGCAGCCAATGTCTCTATTTCCCATCGCTTCTTGTTGAAGTCTACTTCTAGCTCAAGGCCTCGCTTTGCTTTCTCCAGTTCCTCAATTTTGTTTGCAGTCATCTGATTGTTCATTTCCTGCAATTGTTTTCTATGGGATTCCTCTTCCTAAAAAAAATAAAGGAGACTGAATCATAGGTACCAACATAAAAATTTTATTTCATAAAAGCCACTGCCCAAATGAACAATATTTTATCATTTTCCATTTTCTGCCTGCATCCCGCAGATGAAGCTTTGATTGTTTGTGTGATCTAGTTTCTGGCTTGCCCCAGGCCCAGTGCCAGTCCAAGGACTGGGGATTGGGTATCCTTGCTCTATAGGATCAAAGATCAGACCTGAAGAGAGGAAAGGCTGGCTGAATGAGAAATAAAATTGACTGCTAAGCCTATCTACCAACTGGATAGAGAGCTTCAAGGAAGAACTTTGGGGAGGGGGAATGTACTGCTTGCAAACACATCACCTAGTTCTATTATAGTTCCTACTTTTATTGTCTTACTCGTATGGTGAGTGTAGATGTGCGAATGCACACAAACATAAACTTACTAAAGCATCAGTAATGACCTACCAGTCGTGCTTCTAATGATTTTATTTTGGTCTCGTAATTTTGTTGCTGAGCATTAAGTTCTTCTTGAGCCATTTCTTTGGCAAGCTGGATCCCTTGCATCATTTCTTCCTTAGCTTTAAGCCGTGCTTCTTCTATTTCTGATTCAAGCCTAGAAGTATTTTGAAATTAATGCTACAATTTATACCTAAGAAATACTGCACACAAAAGAATAAAAATCTGTAAATGCTAATATAATTTTAGAATATTCCCAAGAAGGAAGTG